ACAGCATGGTTTCATCAAATCCATGCATCTTATATCTTGGCTGAAGTAATGGCTCAGGAAAATAACATATAATAATGATGTCTCTGCAGTGTTTATGATAATATTTTATCTTATATTGGACCAATCTTTGGTCTGGGAGGTGTAACATATCATGATACAAGCCTTTTAAAATGTGTCACAGTTTGGAGGCTCACGCTGGTGAGGAGACACCGTTAGTTCTAGTAACACCTGGGCTCCCAAGGCCTGTTCTGACAGGATGGACGTTACGGGACCCTTAACCCTTTGATGCATAATTGTCACTACAGTGGACAGGTACTTAAAATTGTTATTTATTTATTTTTGCTATTAAGCACAGCTGTTGAAGACTTTATTGCATTTGAACCCCTCCATCTGTACTTCAGTAAGTCAAGCCAACATTTTTCATGTTCAGATTGCACGCTGTCCACTGAGGTGGACATGTAATAAATTATTTTTAAATTAAATTTTACAAAAAATATGTGAATATGAAATTTGTTTCATTCACACCTAAAGATGAATGAAAAAAATTGTTGTTTAAAAAATCATGGTTGACAATTTCATAATTCATGCATCAAAGGGTTAAGGATTCCAGTTGGATGATTGGAGGATTATTTAGGAGGACTGGAATGAACAAACTGATTTCAGTGGTGAAGGGTTAAAAGTATTGGCTCGGCATTAAAATTGTCGAAATGCAAAATAACTACACTTTATTATCTATATAAACATGTACTGGGTTCAGTTTTTTATTTTGTTAAGGACTTTTGTCATAAATTATTACAGAAAATCCAAATCCTCTCCTTTAGACAGTGAAGAACTGTGTTTCGCATACGTCACTCCAGCACGTAAAACAAGCTAGCTGCTGATGCTAATATTGTGATTCACTGTTATTTGTTTACTTTCATGCTCCTAATTATTATGTAAAATTGCGTTTACAGCTGCAGCAAAAGGTCTGAGCCATGTGTCTGTGTCCTACACGCATTTTTAAATAACAGGTCTGATCTAAAATAATAACCTACATCTATAAATCCATCTAGAACCGCACAGCTACTTCTGGACTCTAGACAAGTCCCGTTAGCATGACTGCAGCAAAACTAACCGTGTTCGCTCCGGTAAGGAAAGAATAAGTCCTGTGGGAAAGCTACGACACACACACACACTTACACACACACAGAGATATAATCTAAAAGATGGTCTCTATATTTCAACATTAGAACCTCCATGACATCCTGGATTAGTGCAAACAACGAATTGAGCTAAGGAGTTACTCCAGCATCAGGAAGATTTATTCTGGTAAATTATTTTCCAGAGTTATGTCAATAAATACACACAGCAGTAAAACTGTAGATTACTGAACTATATTGGGACACATGATGGAGCTAAGACCAGCTGAGAACTCGTCAGCTTAGAGCTTCCAGTGGAGCACAGAAATGAAATATTTAAGAAAAGTAAACAAACTGTACCGATTTTGGTTCTGAAGATGAACAGAATCCTCCTCTATGTCCAAATCAGGTCGCAGGTCTTCTGAGTCAAATGGTCTAAAACATGTCTGCACCTCTGGTAGTGATATCCAGCTGGCGGGGTCGGAGTTCGGTTGAACTTCTCCAGTAATCTAATATCCATTCTCGTCACCGTATCCCAGAGAAAAAACAAATCTGATGGACTAGTAGAGGCTTCAGAAGCTACATCTGATTGATGACACATTGTTCTCTGCTATAACGCTAACGCAGAAACAGCGGAGCCAGGCGTTGTTTACTACAGCTGTTTCAGCAGAGCTCCATGTGAAACGTCAACTGCTGCCCAGGGCTTAGACTGGAAGTTAGTTTCTGTTTTTCCCTCGCCAGTCACAAACATCAGATTTTCTTACAATTCCAGCCGTCAAAATCCAAAAACCTTTTTCATCTGAGATTTTAATACACATTTACACATGCTGTTCAAACAAACTTTGCCTCTGGCCGATATCTTTAAATGAGTGAGTGAACCCACTACCAAAGATGAACTCTGCTAACTTTAAAAATCAGCGGCTCTAAATAAGCATTCAGGGAAAAGTCATGGGCTTGTGACTATAACCTAATTTATGTTACTAGTTTGCAGTGTAACTGCCTTTGTACTTCAATATGCATATTTGTTCATTTAATTAAAAAAACGGCCACTTTGACATTTATACCCCATTGTCTTTTTTTAACTATTCAGAAGAGCCCGTCCTTGCACAGTCAAAAAAGTAACTAAGTAACTTTTACTCTGACTACATTTGAAATAAGCTACTTTTTACTTTTACTTGAGTACATTTTGAGGCAGGTAATTTTACTTGTAATTGAGTAAAATTTCATGAAAGTAATTATACTTGTACTTAAGTACAACATTTTAGTACTCTTTCCACCTCTGCATATACGGTCATATACAGACAGTCACACACTCCCTCCCTCATGCTCACACATACACATGCAACCTAAGACTTACAAAAATGAATGCTAGTCACCCACTCACGGTCCCCATACACACCCTATTCTCTTTGGTCCCGGTACCGCTGCACAGAGGGTACAACCATCACCGATCACCAGAGTTCGCCCCTTTCTGCTGGGGTGATGATGAGCAGGCACCTCCCGCCCCACTCTGAGCAAAGCAACCCACCACCCCAGACCCCAAACAGACGGCCAGCTCCCCCCTCTTAGCCTCCAGCCCCAGGAAGCCAAGTGACAACAGAGGTGTGCTAAGACCCCTAGTCTTTGCCCGCCTGCTCCAATACCACATGTCAGCTCCCTGCTCAAAAAGGCCCAGCAGAGGATGTACTTTCAGCGGCAGTTGAAAAAGGCCAAGCTGCCGGCCCAGATGATGGTGCAGTTTTTCACGGCCATCATTGAGTCCATCCTCACCTCCTCCATCACTGTGTGGTACGCTGGAGCCACGGTGAGGGACAAACATAGACTGCAGCGCATTGTGCGCTCTGCTGAGAAGGTGATTGGCTGCAGCCTTCCATCTCTCCAGGACCTGTACGTCTCCAGAACTCAGGGGCGTACAGGCCGGATAGCAGCTGACCCTTCTCACCCGGGACACAGACTTTTCGAGCCGCTTCCCTCAGGCAGGAGGTTAGGGTCCATCCAGACCAGAACCTCCCGCCATAAGAACAGCTTCTTTCCATCTGCCATTAGACTTGTGAATAGATTATAAACACACAACCATGCTCGTCTGCTGTACTTGACATAACGTCACGTTATCGGCCATATTACCATTACCTGCCTTTTTTATAGCTGAATGTTTTATGCTAGTTTTATTATATTTTATTCTACTTATTCTATTTTTGAAATTTATTATTCATGTTATATGTAGCACATTAGTACCGAAACAAGTTCCTAGTTTGTGAACTGCTTGTTCACTGACAATGGCAATAAACCTTTTCTGATTCTGATTCTGATACAGTGTTGATGCGTGTTGATGAGGTGTATTCCATGGCTGGGGGGAGCGGGCAGTGCAGGCATTGTCTGGCCTATGCCAGCTGATGCCACCACACAGCCCCACTTCCCCCCAGAACCTTGTGTGTCTAAGTGCAGATTAAAATTGAAAGAAGGCATCGGCACTCGGTGTGAGGCTGAAAGATCCCCTGCTAACATCAGATTTTAACCATAGGCCCTATCAAATACAAATATTTTAGGCCTAGTCTTAAAAGTAGACATGGTGTCTGCCTCATGGACTAAAATTGGGAGCTGGTTCCAAAAGAGAGGAGCCTGATAATTAAAAGATCTGCCTCCCATCCTATTTTTAGATATTCTGGGAACCACCAGTAAGCCTACAGTCTGAGAGTGAAGTGCTCGGTTAAGAGTGTATGGAAAAATCAGGTCACTGATGTTAGAATGGAGCCAGATTGTTAAGAGTTGTATATACAAGAAGGATGATCTAAAAATCTATTCTATACCCTCAGTCGCTGATCGAGCGAGCGGAGCGCGCTGCGCAACAACCCGCTCAGTTAACATAATTCACAGCCCAAATCCAACAGAACCGATCGGGCTGATTCGGTTCGGGTTTGGTCTCAGGTTACAACTCCAGCACTCAGCCCTGCAGTACCACATAAAGGACCAAAGTTTCCTGCCCAGTAAATGTGGAGAACCCGCTCTGACAGATGTGGATGCTACGCTGGTGCCGCTGTTAAAATAACAAAATTACATTCCACTATAATTGATTATGGCGTACTCTTCTATGATGCAGAATGGTTTATGCCCGCATCTCACGCATTGATTATTTTCCTCAGTTCTATCTATCCTACACCTCCCAGTTGGCCGTCGGGGGTAGGGGTGGGTGTGCGTGCGGGGTTTGGGGGCCATAAAGAGAGGGCTTTCAGGCCGGACGTGGCCCACGGGCCGCAATTTGCGGATCACTGATGTAGAGATTGAAGAGCAGTGTTCCAAGAATTGAGCCTTGGGGAACCCCACGTCATGATGATGAGCTTTGATTTTTGATCAACAATAGAAACAACATAAACACAGTCTTCAAGAGGAGACTGGACTATGATCTGTGCCTGAAAGTCCAACTTTCAGTCCTACATTTTATGTAGGATGTATTTATACCGAGTATATTTATTATATATACTATTACATTCAGTCTATTATATGTGGAATATTGTTATCATTAGCATCAACACTATTCTTTATTTTGGCCCATCAGGGCTCTGAGTGGAGAAAACAAGAGCACCGCCCTCTGGTGGACTCATCAAGCATTACATGAAACAATCCCCACATCAGCACCTTCACTAAATGTTCTGTTTGCCTCTCACAGCAGCTTCAGCTAAGGACAAAAGTATCAACGACATCAGAAGTTTCTCTCACATTCTGTACAGAAAGCATTTGTCTGCTGCTGAAGATCTTTTTCAGTTTGTTTAAAGAAATAAAACAGAAAGTAATATTTTACTGGTCTCCTCTCTGTCAGGGCTTCTGAAGAAACCGCTGATTTAATACTGAACACAGGTCTGTGTGTGAGTGAATACATGTTTATCCAGTCCAGCAGGTGGCGCTAGTGCACCTTTACGCTGGTCACCGACCACCGGAAGAAACAGAAACCAGAAGCTGCTAGCAGAGCTAGCTTGTTGTTGTTCCTTTGGCCTCTCTGAGTAACGCGCTCGTTTTGCTGCTTTCATCAGATTGAAGAGGTTCCCTCTATCAGACTCGCTCATCTGAGTTGGTCATGATGCAGGATCGCTGCTCGCTCTCTCATCCATCCTGCTCACACTCTCCGACGGAAAAGCCCCGAATCTGAATGTGACTCTGGAGGAAAAAGCGGTTAGCTCTACTCCGTGAACTCTGGTGAGCAAAGGTCCTCTTTTCCAGACTGGATCTGTCCTCAGCTGATCAGAACCAAAGCGTTGGATCTTTAATCTCCTGCGTTGTTCTGAAGCAGCATCTTAATCAGCTCTCCTGCTTTGTTTCTATTGCAGCTGTTAGCTAAACACGGCTAAAGAAAACCTGCTACCACTTTAGGATCATCCATCAGCATGGACACAGGTACTGATGTGTGTGTGTGTGTGTGTGTGTGTGTGTGTGTGTGTGTGTGTGTGTGTGTGTGTGTGTGTGTGTGTGTGTGTGTGTGTGTGTGTGTGTGTGTCATGGACACAGGTACTGGTGTGTGTGTGTTGGACAGCATGAACACAGGTACTGGTGGATGGATGAACAGGGTTTTCCCCACGGGCGTCTCACCGTGTTTTTGTAAGAAAATAGTTTGATGTGAATTATCGTAACTAATTTGGTGCAGGGGCGTCTGTTCCTTGGACACTGGGGGCTGAGCCCAGACCCTCAGAGGATAGAAACGCGATGGCGGTAAAAGGGTATTGGGGGGTCCTCTGGGCTGTCAAGACTTCCTTTGATCTTGAACATAAGTTGCTTTTTATAGCGATCGAAGCGGCGCTCCTTAAGCTTTTCCACAAGCCGCTCCTAAAGGTCCCTGTGAACTGTCAGGTGACCTCCAGCTCTAACGGAGAGAAGCTCCTGGAGCTCTGCATCGCCCCAGTTTAACAAAAGCTACACTTACCTTTCATTACAATGCTGTAGCCGGCCGGAGCTGGGCCTTGGTTCCTCATGTCATCATAACACCAAGTAGGAATGTACATTTCCAGGTCCGGCGTTGTGGGGATATTACTACCAAGCTTGGTGGAACCGCTACATTCTCTCATCGCCGTGGCTTTGGTAAGACACACCGTGGCGGCAGTATTACGCTGATATGTCGACGGTAAAAATCTCACACTGGTTGTGCTGCGAGGCCTTTTTTATCTGCTCTCTAAGTGAGTAGAAACGTGTTTTTGTCTGAATGAAGTCCATGTTGTGGTTTTTTCATCTCAGTTACACAGAACTGTCACATGTATGAATATAAAGTCAGTGGTCAGTAACTGTGTTTCCTACAGATGTTCAGCAGCTGGTGCTGGTTAAAGAAGAAGCTCCTGGTGAGGACCAGCAGGACCCAGAACACCTCCACATAAAGGAGGAACAGGAGGAACTCCGGGCCAGTCTGGAGGGAGAGCATCTCTGTTTGAAGGAGGAGACTGATGCGGCCAGGTTTCCAGTCACTGTAGTTACTATAAAGAGTGAGGATGATGAAGAGAAACCTCTGGTCTCACAGCTTCATCAGCAGCAAATAGAAGACAGAGATGTTCCAACCAGCAGCTCAGCGGACCAGATGACAGCAGGAACTGGTGGAGGAGCCGGAACTGAGCCGGAACTAGCAGGAACCCAGATCTGAACCCTCATGAACAAACATCTGATTCTTCAGAGACTGGCGTTAGTGGAGATGACGAAGAGGATGATGATGATGATGTGAATCTAGACTCTGAGCTGTTAGACCCTGGGTCTGGAGATGGAGACTGGAATGAGAGCAGATCTTCTGAGTCAGATGGTAAGACTCAACTTTAGCTGCTCTGAGTGTGGTCTCTTCCCACGGTGGCCCATCTCCAGCAGAACTGACCCAACACACCCACTGGTGGCTGAAATTCACACCTACCGTTAGGAGGAGCCTCCAGTTGGTTTATGTTCATGAATGTAGCAGACGCTTTTGTCCAAAGGGACTTACAGCTGATGATGAAGCGGCAGGTTGCCCTTGAGGCTAACAACAATCAGTCAGTCCTAGGTGGTAGTGAGGCAGCAGAATCAGGGACGTGAACATGGAGTGGACAGTAGAGAGGGGGACAGGTGCTGGGAGGGTCCTAGTTTAGAAGATGCTCTCTGAAGAGCTGGGTCTTCAGGAGTTTCTTGTAAATCTACAAGGAAGCTCCTGTTCTTCCACATGAAGTCTGGATTGTCCTGAGCGTGGTGCAGCACTGCTAGCCGACGATCCTCCGATGACTGGAGCGGTCGGGTCAGGACGTTAACCTTTACAAGAGAATTCGGGTAGATGGGAGCCGTATCATCCAGAACTTTGTATGCTAGCGCTAGTGATTTGAGTTTGATGCGAGCAGCTAGCGGTAGCCAATGGAGCTCAATGAACAGGGGTGACATGTGCTCTTCTAGGCTGATTGAAGACCAGATGCACCGCTGCATTCTGGACCATTTGAAGAGGTCTCACAGTCCAGGCTGGAAGACCAGTTAGACGGGCGTTGCAGTAGTCGAGGAGGGAGTTGACGGTAGATTGCACCAGCAGCTGGGTGGCATATCGTGTTAGGTACAGTCTGATGTTTGGTATTTTATACAGCGTGAAGCGGCATGAAGGAGCGACGTGATCTTTAAAGGTCAGCTGGTCATCAATCACAACGCCCAAGATCCGAACTGCCTTTGAAGGAGCCAGAGACAGGGAATCGTTTTGGATGGAGATGTTGTGCCGTATGGGTGGTTTCGCTGGGATGACATGTAATTCCGTTTTAGAGCGGTTTAGTTGGAGGTGGTGGGATTTGATCCATCTTGATACGTCAGAGAGACAATCTGAGATTCATGCGGTCGTCCGGCGGGAACGACAGATAGAGCTGGGTAGGGCTGGGCAATAAATCAAAAATGTATTGTTATCTAAATTTCTGACTCTTAGCAATAATAAAAAATGAAAAGATGTATGCAGGTCGGCAACGTTAATGTCCCTTCAAGAAGCTGTACCACCTTGAGTCACGTGAAAATGCGACTCATGTACTAGCCCCATCTAGTGGACAACTTTTGTTTGTGCACATACCTGTAGTCATCGTCCATTCATCGTTATCGAGGTGAAATCCTCAATAAATCGTGATATTGATTTTAGGCCATATCGCCCAGGCCTAGAGCTGGGTGGCGTCGGCATAGCAGTGGTAGGAGAAGCCATGCGATCGAATGATCTCATCAAGTGAGGTGGTATATATGAGAAAAGGGCTTAGTACAGAGCCCTGGGGGACGCCCGTGGCAAGATGTCAAACAGCAGAAGATTGTTGGGTAGAGTCAGCCAGCAGGGGGCTTCCCGCATGCGTGAGACTTAATCATTCTGGATACTGAGGAGTAAACATCCACTCTGAAGTTGTGGGGAGACGTGCACACACACACACACACACTCGTGTATTTCAGAGACTTTAACATGGACAAATCATCTTCTCCACCTCTAAACCCACATTTCCCATCATTTCTGTCCACAGATAAATGTTTGTTGAGTATCTTTGGACTCCTCCAGATGAGTTTGTGGGAGGCTGTATGAAGCAGGGGAACAGGAAAGAGGCAGAAACTACCGGTGTTGGGAGAAATGTGTGTTGACTTTGAGAATGTGGGCGTAATTATTAGTTACTTGTCAAAACTCTGTTGCTGTCTGACTGTTGTGGCTTGGAGTCTTTATTTCTGCAGTGAGTGTAGAAAACTCACCTGCTGTGCAATGCAAAGGAGGAGAGAGAGAGAGAGAGGCCGGAAAGAGTTTTTATCGACCCATTTTTTTTCCGTCTACCACACGTCTATCGATAGATAGATATCGTTATTGAACCATCATCCAGCCCTAGTCTACAACCTCTTGGCTATGGCCTCTTCAGCAGTCTCCATATGATTATGGACGCACAAGCAGGAGACCAGTTCAGGTTTACGTGGATAAGCAGGAATGTGCGTTCGGCTGCAGCAGCTGAAACGTTTCTAACTTAAGTGAAATCACTTAAAGTATCTTTCCGGAGTTTTCCCCTTTCAGAAATGATGTATGATTTGTCACAAGTCCGTAAAAGTGATGATCTCATCATGTGCTGTGATATAATAAAAGCAATACGTCTTTTATTTTTGTGCTAAGCACGCCCCCTGCCCCGCAGAGCTCCGTGCAATAGGAAACTGAGCGCCGACCACAACTAACCAATAGCGTTAGACTACCGCTTGCCTTCTTCAAATTTAAGGAATACCTCGGCTGATGCAGAGCTGGTGAACTTTTCACACACACACGCGTCTCTATCATACAAATATATGAAAACACAGCGTGACATGAGAATAATAATGGTAAAACAACGTGTTTTAGCTGTTTGTTGCTACAGAAGCACATTTATAAACAGAAACGTGAAGTCATCATCTAAAAAATAACGGAAGGAGTGTGATACGCTTGTCAGCCACTAGATGGTGCCATCAGATAAGAGAAATACTCCAGAAAGAGACTAAATTCATTGTTTAAATGTTACTGAGTCACTCCGGTCGAAGCTGAAGGAGAGATGCTAGATCTAACCTGATTGACTTTATGCGCCAAGAAAGACCGGAAGTTTTCAGCCTGACTCTGAGTGGATGGAGGCTGTAGGTGAAGCAGGAGAGACGATACTGCTGATGGTGCTAAGCAACACTTTAGGGCTTCCCTTTGATCTTAGGAAGACATCTGCTTCTAGATGCATCACTGTGATGTAGAGGTGGAGTTTACATGTCTGTAGTGGTAATCTACTGTAAACGGCCTGTGTTTGTATAGCACCGTCGAGGGTTCTACAACCTCCCAACCGCACACATTCACATGCAGGTGATGATGAGCTGCACTGTAGCTACAGCTGCCCTGGGGCGCGCTGACTGAGGCCTAGTCCACACGTAGCCGGGGTTTTTTAAAAATGAATATCCGCCCCTCCAAAAACTTGCATCCACACCACACCACCGCGTTTAAAAAAAAAACTCTGTCCACACGTACCCAGATAAATACGTTGTTAAGGACATGCCAGACCTGTAGGCGGCAGTACTTCCCCCGTTCTTAACCTCGTCCTTCATCTGTGGTCTTCCGCAAGGAGCAGTAATTCCGCTTGCAAAAACAAACAAGCAGAAAGCGCTTGGACAATTGATGGATCGGGTAGTGACAGAGCGCAGCTCTGAAGGCTTCCATGATGCCGGCTAGTGTAAACACAGGTCGCACACTTGATGTCAGCATTTTTTTGTCGCGGAAAGTGACGTTGCGGACCTTAAAACTCCGGTTTTGTCCGTCCACACGCAGACACCCAAAACAGAGAAAACGCAGATCTTCACTTTGGCCGGAGTTTTTAAAAAGATCAGTTTTCGTGTGAAAAAACTCCGTTTTCGTGTGAATGACAGGCCAAAACGTAGGAAAATATCTACGTTTTGACAGATCCCCAGCTACGTGTGGACAGGGTCTGAGGCGACGCAGTTAAAAACTGGCACCACCAGTCCTTCTGACCACACAACGACTGCGACGGATTGAGCGGTACTCAATCCCACAACCTTCTGGTTATGAGACGGGCACGTTACTCCGCTGTCACTGCTGCCCCAATGACACTTTTGAAAGTATTAAACATTTTACTGTCTCTGGTTCCTGGTAATTGTCTTAAAGTATGTGGAGCTGCACTGTAGCTGCACACGTTCAAGAGAGCAAACAGGTGTGTGTTACTGAATATGGTGGCTGGGCTGGTCCAAAATGCCAAGACTGCTTCTGTCCTAAGTCTTTTGAAATGAATATTTATGATGCGTCACACGTATGACTTGTATGGGATATTGTTTGTCCTGGTTGAGGAAAGAGCCATCATCGTGTACGGGTCAGTCCTATGCATCTACCCCTCCCCCAAGAAAAGGCGGCTGCTTGATGTCATGTTGGTGGTAAAATGTACTAAATCCAACTTTGGGATTCCTGTATAAACCTCGCTGTTGGCCTCATACTATTATTTTCAGTGTAGAACATCCCAAATCAGGAGTTTTCATCAGTTTTTTATGGTATCGTGTGTGAAATAAGTACTTTGAATCAAAGTTTCAGGTTTTTAATACGTTAGAAAAATCAGATTAATTCCAGGAAGCCTGCTTTTTTTTTGTAAAATAACTTGACATGAAAATGTCACTCAGGTAAAATGTTCATTCAGTTCTTATCTCCCCAACCTAAACCAATAATAAAACTCCTCTATGTGTGAATATGAAATTACGGTGGTCAGTAATTAACATCATGTTTCTGTGTTTCCTACAGATGTTCAACAGCTGGTGCTGGTTAAAGAAGAAGCTCCTGGTGAGGACCAGCAGGACCCAGAACACCACCTCATAAAGGAGGAACAGGAGGAACTCTGGACCAGTCTGGAGGGAGAGCAGCTCCATCTGAAGGAGGAGACTGGTGCTGCCAGGTTTCCAGTCACTGTAGTTACTATAAAGAGTGAGGATGATGAAGAGAAGCCTCTGTTTTCCCAGCTTCATCAGCAGCAACTGGAAGACAGAGATGTTCCAGCCAGTTGCTCAGCTCACCAGATGATAGCAGAAACTAGTGGAGGACCAGAAGCTAGCAGGAACCCAGGTTTAAACCCTCATGAACAGGCATCTGATTCTTCAGAGACTAAAGTGAGTAGAGATGATGAAGAGGATGATGTGAATCTAGATTCTGAGCAGTCAGACTTTGGGTTTGAAACTGAAGAGGGAGCCAATGACTGGAGTGCGAGCAAGTCTTCTGAGTCAGATTTTAAGTCTGTCAACAAGTCCTTTAGCTGCCCTGAGTGTGGTAAACAGTTTATTCACAAGAGCTCTCTCCAGAAACATGTGAGAGTGACAGGTCATTCAGCAACAAGTTCTTCAGTCGGTCTGGTTAATAAAAAATGTGTTAGAGAGAATCAACATGTAGACTCAAGCAGGAAAGTCCAGAAAGAACTAAAATCATTTACTTGTGATGACTGTGGAAAAACATTTATGAAAAAATCCAATTTAACCAAACACGTGATTGTCCACACAGGACAGAAACCTTTTGTTTGCGAAATTTGTGTAAAAACATTTAGATTTAAGACAAATTTAAGCAGACACATGAGAGTCCACACAGGCCAGAAGCCTTTTGCTTGTGAACTTTGTGATCAAAGATTTAGTCACAAAACATCTTTAAACAGTCACATGAATATCCACACAGGACAGAAGCCTTTTGCTTGTGAGCTTTGTGGTCAAAGATTTAGCTATAAGGCAACTTTAAACAGTCACATGAATATCCACACAGGACAGAAACCTTTTGCTTGTGGTTTCTGTGAAAAACAGTTCAACCGAAAAACATCTTTAAATTGTCACATGAATATCCACACAGGACAGAAGCCTTTTGCTTGTGAGCTTTGTGGACAACAATTTAGCCGTAAAACTGCTCTAAACAGTCACATGAGTGTCCACACAGGACAGAAGCCTTTTGCCTGTGAACTATGTGGAGAAGGATTTAGCCATAAAACAACTTTAAAAAGTCACATGAGTGTCCACACTGGACAGAAGCCTTTTGCTTGTGAGCTTTGTGGTCAGGAATTTAGCTATAAAACAACTTTAAACAGTCACATGAATGTCCACACAGGACATAAGCCTTTTTCTTGTGGGATCTGTGGACAACAGTTTAGCCGTAAAACAACTTTAAACAGTCACATGAGTATCCACACAGGACAGAGGCCTTTTGCTTGTGAGATTTGTGGTCAAAGATTTAGCCAGAAAACACATTTAAATGGTCACATGACTGTCCACACAGGACAGAAAAATTTTGCCTGTAAATTTTGTTTAAAAAAGTTTAGCTTTAAGACAAATTTAAACAGACACATGAGAGTCCACACAGACAAGAAGCCTTTTGCTTAAGAGCTCTGTGGACAAAGATTTAGCTTAAAGGTATCTTTAAGCAGCCCTCTAGGGCTGAAAGATCTATTGTTCTCTGATTAAAAATAGCAAATTCAAACATGATCACGTGATTGCCAAAGCTGCATTTTTTTTCTTCTTCTACTACTCCTGATGGACCCAGGTGTGTGTGCATTGGTAAATGACTGTTTATGTTGTGAAGCACCTTGAGGGGTTATCATAATATACAAGCCAGACATTGGTGGTATAGCTTGCTTATGTGAGAAATAAACTACCAGGTGGCCCTAAAAATGTCCAGGTATCCCTTCTTGGTAAAACATTAGGCATGTTTCCATTGTCGGAAATTCAGGGTAGTCGGGGAAGAGGAAATTTGACCTCAAATGTTGTGTCTCCATACAAATTCAGCCCTCTCAGGAATATGCACAGAAATCCACATATTGCTACTGCTCCAGTAGTCAGTGATGTCACTGAGCAGCACCAAAAAGCGTCCACAGTAACATAAAATACTTTCTTCTGTCAAGATACAGCATGCAGAGGACAGAGATCAGCTGTGTGATGTAAAATGTGGCATTCGATGCCTTTTTTTATGGCTCTCTGACACAACAAAACGCTGTGAATGTCTTTGTGGAGGATTTCTCTTGGGTTTTTCAGTGCTGGAATTTATAATGGCGATATTAAAGCGGTGCAAATGATGCTCGTTTGCTTGTGCTTCCAGTCTGGTTATAATTCCTTACTGGGTTACAACTTATCAGCACGTGTTAACCAAAAGTTCTGCTCAGCTACTCCACCGGGCCTTTTGGAGTCCATACCCATGTACAGGTAGTCTGAAAGATCCTTATAATGGCCTGGAAAACAGCCCAGTGAAGTGGAAACAGGCGCATGTCGGGAAGGTCCAACCCTGAAATCGTTGCATTGTTTTGTTAATCAGAATCAGAAAAGGTTTATTGCCATTGTCAGTGAACAAACAGTTCACAAACTAGGAACTTGCTTCGGTACTAATGTGCTACATATAACTTGAATAATAAAATTCAAAATAGAATAAAGTAGAATAAAATATAATAAACTAGCATAAAACTTTGCTATAAAAAAAGGCAGGTAATGGTAACATGGCCGATAACGTGACGTTATGTCAAGTACAGAAGACGAACATGGTTGTGTGTTTATAATCTGTTCACAAGTCTAACGGCAGATGGAAAGAAGCTGTTCTTATGGCGGGAGGTTCTGGTCCGGATGGACCGTAACCTCCTGCCTGAGGGAAGCGGCTCAAAAAGTCTGTGACCCGGGTGAGAAGGGTCAGCTGCTATCCGACCTGCACGCCCCCGAGTTCTGGAGACGTACAGGTCCTGGAGAGATGGAAGGCTGCAGCCAATCACCTTCTCAGCAGAGCGCACAATGCGCTGCAGTCTATGTTTGTCCCTCACTGTGGCTCCAGCGTACCACACAGTGATGGAGGAGGTGAGGATGGACTCAATGATGGCCGTGTAAAACTGCACCATCATAATAAATACAGGGTGGGCCATTTCTATGGATACACCTTAATACAATGGGATATGTGTGAGGGGGCAAACTTTTCAAGATGACTGGTGACCATTTTGAAGTCGGCCATCTTGGATCCAACTTTTTTTTTTTTTTTCAAGAGGAAGAAGGTCATGTGACACATCAAACTTATTGGGAATTTCACAAGAAAAACAATGGTGTGCTTGGTTTTAATATAAATGTATTCTTTCATGAGTTATTTACAAGTTTCTGACCACTTATAAAATGTGTTCAATGTGCTGCCCATTGCATTGGATTGTCAGTGCAACCCTCTTTCACACACTGATAGCAACTCCACACTGAGAAATGCCAGCACAGGCTTCCAGTATCTGTAGTTTCAGGTGCTGCACGTCTCGTATCTTCACACCAAAGACAATTGCCTTCAGATGACCCCAAAGATAAGTCTAAGAGGGTCAGATCGGTTTTGTCTCTTGTCTCTGTTTAATCCTGTATTTCTGTGTGTGTTTTAGGTCAAATAATCTTGGTAATCTATAAATTACTTTAAGTTAAGTTGATTTATTGGTGATCATCACTCCTTTCCTTCTGAGGTCATTTGTTTAAGTGTTGCCATGGAAGCGCGCCCATAGGCAGCCATGATCAGTTCCTGGTGTGCTTAATCAGCTCTACTGAGGGAGAAACTAACTGACTGGAGAGGGGGGGGGGGTTATCTTGTGTTTGTTTAAGTGTAAATTGCTATTCAAGTTTTTTTTATTAAGTTTTCCAAATTTTTACATACAAACAAAAACAAAATACCCAAATAACCCACCCCCCTTACAGCACAGGCTAACTCAAAACCACACACAACCACCATTCATAATAATTTCAAAACATGCTATCCAACAACTTTTATATCTTTTTACCAATAAAAAACAAAAATTCATTCCAGGTTTCAAAATATGAGTCTTTTTTCCCTTCATTTTAGCAATTAATAGTTCATAAGATGCAATCTCCGTCATTGTTATTATCCAGTCTCTGTAAACAGGTGCCTCAAAACTTTTCCGTTTACGCAGTATGACTCTAGCTGCTGAAATAAAACCTGTAAGAGCTAGGGCCCCTGCCGTTGTAGATATATTCGGTACACACGACAAGTCTCCTAATAAACAAAGTCGAGCAGTTTCCGGGAGCGGTATACCCAACCACTCTCACATTGTATTCAATATTTTTTTCCAAAATGTTGAACAACATAGCATGACCACATAGAATGAATAAAAGTACCGTCCTGCCTTTTACATTTCCAGCATAAATTGTTCTTCATTAAACCCATTTTATAAAGACGAACCGGTGTAAAATAATATCTATGGATTATCTTATAATGTGTCAGCTTTCCCCGTGCTTCCCTGGTAAACCATCCCATATTGGACATTATCCTTTGCCATGACTCTCTATCCAACCTTATGCTTAAATCCCTCTGCCAAACATGCCTTAAGCCATCATAATTTCCATATAATACTGTGGCTGCCATCTTATAAAACATAGATACTGACTGATACATTTCTGCCAGATTTAAATAGAGTTGTACAACATTGTCCTCTTCAGGCAGCTCCTTAACCAAACTGTCCAAGCTACTTCTTATTTGGAAATATCTCCATAAGTTACCTGTATTATCCATGTTAAATTGTAGCCTCAAGTCCTGATAAGATTTCACTGTTCTGTTGTCGATTAGATCCTCTAATTTTCTCATGCCCCTCTCTCTCTCTCTCCACGTATTCCAACAGATGACTTCCTTTCCCACCCTTATTGCTGGGTTATATCAAATTGATGAATATAATTGTTTATACTGGGATATCTTTAACCATTTGTGGAGTTTGATCCAGATATTTTTAGAATGCTGTAATATTGGATTATTCTCTTTATACTCAGCTTCCTTCTTTTGTGCTCTTTTTTGTGACAAAGCTTCTAAAGGCCAAAAGGGGGCAGTAAATTATTTTTCTATAGCTACCCATCCTAAATAAGTGTCCTCTTTACCACCATGTTTTGTTAATTTAGCCACTTCAAAGGCAATGTTATACAGCTCCACATTTGGCAAAGCAAGACCCCCGTCCCTTCTTGTTACATACATTTTTTGTTGACTTATCCTTGGTTTCTTTCCATTCCATAGATATTCCTTTACCATCTGATTATATTGATAATAATACTCTTCACTTATTGAAATCGGAAGCATCATTGACAAATAATTAAATTGTGGCACAATCACCATTTTAATGGTATTAATTTTTCCCCATAATGTTAAATTGACTGCTTTCCATTTCTCCAGACTATGCTTTATCTTAATAAGGAGAGGAGCCATATTAATGTGCATTATATCTGTTATATTAGCGCACAATTTAACCCCTAAATACTTCATCCCAGTTGAGAGCCATTTAAAATTCCCTGCAGTCACCATGGTAGAATGACAAGCTCTAGAAATGGCCGTAGCCTCTGACTTATGCCAATTAACTTTATAACCCGAAATTTGAGAGAATAAATCAACTTTGTCAAGAAGAGCCTGTGTAGAAGATGTCGGTTCTGAAATCAAACAAAGAATGTCATCTGCGTAAAGAAAGAGTTTATGTTCTCTCCCACCTGCTTCCACCCCTTTAATCGCTCCCTCCTTTCTTATTGCAATTGCTAATGGCTCCATAAATAATATAAACAATAACGGGGACAAAGGGTCTACTTGTTTTGTACCCCTATACTGTCTAAAAAAGGGGGAAATAAAACCATTTGTAACTACAGCTGCCCTAGGCTTTGCATAGATTGCCTTAACCCATGTAAGGAAACCACTCCCAAATCCAAATTTTTCCAAAATATTCCATAAACACTCCCATTCTACCTGATCGAATGCCTTCTCAGCATCAAGGGAGAAGACAGCGACTGGCACATCGCTCTCCTGGCGGAGCGGAGGTGAGGCGAGGATCCACACAGACAGGTAGGACGTTTATCATGTATTTCAATACGTAACACGCAGGACACTGAAACAATGGACCGACACAAGACACAGAACAGAAGGGGCTTAAATACACGAGGGCCGGGAGCTAAGGTGATTGGGAAACGAGAGGCAGGTGGGAGCAATTAACGAGACACAAGGCTGAACCAAAACGGGGAGACAGGACAGGGTGTGTCACAAGTGAAGCAGTCTCCGCATATTATCAGATGAGGACCTTCCTTTAACAAAGCCCACCTGGTCAGGATGAATGAACAAAGATAAAAGTTTTTCTAATCTCATGGACAAAATTTTTGTAAGGACCTTACAGTCAACATTCACCAGACTCACAGGCCTGAAGCTACCAGGATCCAACGGGTCTTTGTCACGTGCGACCGCAGACCATGATGGCCGCCTAAGGCAAGACCTCCTGATGGGTCAGCCACTTTCCCCTGGATTTTCTTGAATGGGACTTTACTTTCTAAGAGGTTAAAGTAATCTAACATTGACGATAGGATCCCGGAGCGTGTAGGAGAAAAGTGCGACAAAATGTCTACTGTGAATCCGAAAACGAGGTCGGCTAAACAGGCAGCTAGTATGGTAGCCGCTAGTAGCAACAAGCTTGCCGGCGTTAACAACGGCGAGGACACTACGCAGAGTCACGAGGCCGGCTTGTCGAACCTGGTGCCAGTGAATGCGATGGCGGAGCTGCAGTCTACATTGGAAAAGGCAATGCGGGAAATGGCTCAAGTGAGCAGCATTCTGCAGGATCTACAGGCAGACGTTTCACAAGTGAAAGCATCACAGGCTAAAATGGAATTAGAAGTTATTAGCCTTGGTGAAAAGCTGGAGGAAGCGGATGGACGGGTTATGGATTTGGAAAAGTAGAATGAGAGGCTGGATAAGGAAGCCAGAGAGAGAGCACGTCAGCATGAAGAGCTTCGGAGAGTTGTCAGGACATGGAGAACAGGGACAGAAGATTAAATCTTCGCCTGGTGGGGGTTAAGGAGCGCGCTGATGACGGCAAACCAAGGGAGCTGGTGAGAATAATCATTGCTGAAGCATTGGGCATTGATCTGCACTACAGGGAGCTGCAGCGGGCGCACCGCTCCCCTGGCCCGTTACCGAACGACGGGCAACCACCAAGGCAGATTATTGTTCGTTTTCATAATTTTCTTGAAAAAGAGAGGGTGCTCATGGCTGCTAGGCAGAGTTTTTGAGACGAGGGCGGGATCGAGTGGAACGATTGTAAGATTTCCTTCTTTCCTGATATGACTAGAGACGTAGTGGAGAAGAGGAGAAAGTTCACGGAGGTAAGAAGGAAACTGTATGATCTGGACATTAGATTTACGTTATCATACCCAGCCACCCTCTGTTTCACGTGGAAAGGAGAAAAGAAAAGTTTTGAGGATCCCCGAAAGGCAATGGAGCTTATATGCCGTCGGACAAAGACGGACAGACCGTAAAGGGAGGAACTATTGACTGATTGATCGTCACTGGGGAGGAGGACGGTAATATAGTTAAGGAACGGAAACGGGGGTTATAGGATATTTATGGCTTTCAGAAGTATGCCAAATATTTGATTAGTCTTACTTTTTGGAGTAATATGGTATTTGAATAGGATGTGGCTCTAAACTATGTTGATGCAAAAATTAATGGATACAGTAAGTATAATGGAAAGTATATGTATGTATGTGTATGTATGTGTGTATGTATGTATGTATATATATATATATATATATATATATATATATATAATATATATATATAATATGTGTATGTATATATATGTATATTATATGTGTATGTATATATATGTATATATATATATATATATATATATATATATATGTGTATGTGTTCGTATGGGTGTATGTATATATAGATACACATATATATATTTTTTCTTGGTGGGGGGACTGTCGGAGGATTTGTTCGGTGGGGGGGGGGGGGGGTTACTGGTCGCGCCTCACGGACCATAGTATTTTCTTTTTTTAGGGGGGGGGGGGTATTTTAAAGCTTATTAAGCTTATGATAGCGGGTATAAGGGTTTTGTTTGGGGGGATTATAGTTTGTTTTTATGTGCAGCACAAGCCTGGGTTCTATAACGGTATACAATCACAGTCTTATAGTAATATACTATATTATACTTAGGTATAATATAGTATAATATACTTACTATATCAGCTAGGAAGATTGATTTAAATGGGGAAATAATGGAGTGATATTTGATAAAAGGTTGATATGGAAGGATAATAAAACTAAAATAGAGGAAAGATGCAAGAAAGTAATAAATATAATGAGATGTGTGAGAGGATGTGAGTGGGGGGCTAGTGCTCAGGCATTAAAAAACGTGTACAGTGCAATGATACGATCAGTGATAGATTATGGGAGTATAGTTTATAGTTCAGCATCTAAAACATTAATGAAACGGATTGAAATCATACAAAGTCAAGCATTAAGAGTGTGTTGTGGAGCAATAAAAACTACACCTATTGTGACACTACAGGTAGAAATGGGTTAGATGCCAATGCAGCTTAGAATAAAACAGATAGCTTTGAATTATTGGGCAAGTATACAAGGGTGTGAGGACAACGAACACATGGCAAAAAGGGCACTGAGTCCGTGTTGGGAAAAGGAGAAAATGAAGAAGGATTATGGGAGCTGGAAGGTGCAAGATTAGGCGAAAGAGAGTAAGATCCATGATAAAGTACAAATTAAAAAGTTTTTGTATACGGTTAATCCAAAATGGATATTTCCGGAAGTGTGTGTTGATTATAGTATTTATGATAAAATGAGAAGCAGTGGGGGGAAAGGAAATTGGGATAAGATTACAGAAGATAGATTGGAAAGCTATGAGTCTTTTGTGCAAATCTTTACAGATGGATCAAAGGAACTGGTAGGGGGAAAATCCGGTTTTGCATTTGTGATACCACATATAGGAGTAGTAGTTAGGGAAAGTACTCCAGATCATTTATCTGTGTGCACAGTAGAGATGATAGCTATCTTATTTAGTCTTCAATGGATGGAACAAAAATAGAAATAAAAAAGGAATTATATGTACTGATTCATTATCTGTATTAGTGTCAGTTGAATTAATGTCTACCAAGAGTCGAATAGATGTATTATATGAGATATATGAGACCGTATTTAGATTAGGGAATTTGGGTACAGAAGTTAAATTTTTATGGGTACCGGCACATAGAGGAGTAGAAGGAAATGAAATGGCAGATTATTTTGCAAAAAAAGGCAATAAGAGATAGGAAAATAATAAATATTGCATATAGTGCCGCTGAAATGAAATCTATCATTAAAGCACATATAATGCAAGAGTGGCAAAGAATGTGGGAAAGGGGAGAGAAAGGAAGACATTTGCTTCAGATACAAGGGAAAGTAGGAAAATGGAGAAATATAAGACTGAATAGTAGAGATCAAAGAATAATATCAAGATTAAGATTGGGACATACTGGGCTTAATAGTACACTGCATCTGATGGGTAAACATCCCACAGGTTTGTGTGGATGTGGGGCGGGGGGAGAAACAGTGGAACATGTTTTGTGTGACTGCATAAAATATGAGGGAAGTAGGGCAACTCAGGGAGAAATTAAGAGACATAGGAGGTGGAGTGATGACTGTAAGGAATTTGTTAAATGGTGAAGAAAGGAATTAAGTTGGTTGTTGGGTATCTAAAGCACTGTGTCTGTTGCATAGAATTTAGTTTTTTTTTTCTTTTTTTCTCGCTCTCACTCCGACTCACACTCCAGCACAGTAGGTGGCGGAAATGAACCCAGAAGTTAGATGCCACCCGCCATTAAACTCGAAGAAGAAGTAGAAGTTTCCCTCAGTTCGCGCTGAACTGCGCTCGGGAGAGGTGAGTGTGTGGAGCTGTGTCGCATATGTGTGTGTTGGTAATATAAAACCATTTTAGACAGGAGTAGGTGGAACAGAGAGTGGCTGACTGGGTGGTACCGGGTCGGTTGGGTGGTCGGCGGGCCGACGGCCTGAACGGGCCCGGTACGACGACAGCTCAACTTCGCTCTGAGTGGGCCTCGTTCGCGGTGTCCAGGGAGCTCAGTACGGTGATTGGGGAGGTGCTAGATGCTACTGTCGGGTTTCCTGGTGTGTTGGTGGTGGTTTGTCGGACGAGGCCCAGTGCCTCAAAGCGCTGCGGCTTGAAACGTGTATGGGGGTGGGAGTGGATGTGTGTGAGTCGCGTTCGGGTGCTGTGGTTAAGGGTGTGTACCGCGTGTCGAGTGAGGTTTCTGTTCCTCACGTGTTTCCCTCCCTGAGTGGGGCGGCGGTGGGATTTGAGGCTCGTGGGTCCACTCCACGGTTAATTACTTCTGATGCGGTGGAGCTGCATGACCGGGTCATGTTGGGCTTTCTCAGCTTCTCGTTCAGGGCGTTTGAGGTGTCTTATGTCGTATGGGGGTTAAGAGTGGTGGTGGTGAGGGATTAGAGGAAGTTCCTGGCCTTTCTGGTGGTGAAGCATGTAGCGACCATCAAGTCGGTTGTTGCACGTGAGGTGACTGTTGCTGCAGAGACCTTTTTGGGGTTTGGTCACGTGTCCCCCGAGGAGGTTTGGGGGACTGCGTGTTCGCGCAGGGTAGGGGGGCCTGGGTCTGCTGTGGGTAATGGGACGTTCTTGGTGAAGAATGGGTTGGTGGTAGTGGGGTAAGTTTTCTTATGAGGTTGTGTATGTTCACTGGTGGTGGTGGGGTTTCTGTTGATCGCGGCTCTGTGTCCATGGGGGAGGGGATGTACGTTTGTTGTGTTGAGTGCGATGGGTGGCGCTGTGGCTGTGCTGGTTGTTGTGGCAGCAGTGCGCCGTTTTGGCGTCCAGCCCGCCTTTTTCAACAAAGAAAGAAAAAACATTTAAAACTTATATTTATCAACCATACAGCCTGTTTAGTGTTGTTATCCGTCCAGTTTGAGGTTTTTGAGCGGCTTTTTAATCAGTGCAGTGTTTGTGAGGAGACCTGTGTAACCAAAGGGCTGTGCTGAAGGTGTTCTTGTTTTAAACAGAATAAACCTGCCTGACCAACTGTGGTGGTTCCTGTCTGCCGGTCCCTTGGTCCACGACACACAACGCAGAATACAAAGAGACAATAGGACAGAGACCGAGGAGGTCGGCTACAGTTGCACTCCTACAAGCCATTACACAGGGCTAACCACAGGCCTGGCCAGCTACCTACAAGGCACTGCGCAGGGCACACTTAACCCTTGATGCTGTGAACGGTAACGCTGCAGTAGAAGACAGCCAACAGTAAGTTTACCTTTACACCAGAAACATTTCCTAAACACATCTTAACAGAAGCGCGTGTCATGTGACACACCTTCAGAGTTATTTACAGTAGGGCCGAGCTCCGATTGTAGCCACGAGGGCGCGTCGGTAGCCTCTAATGGCTGTGACCGCTATCACCCAGCTACGAGAACAGCCAACGGCTATAGCTATGAACAGTGGCGGCTCCAGACAATTTTTATTGGTGGGACCTGGTCATTTCAAGGGGGGTCTCAAAAAAACAAAAAATGCAGTGGACAGCTACTAACTGCATATTACTGCTACTAAACAACAAAAATACTACAACTACTTTGTTTTTAATTAATTAGTCAATTGCAGTGTGCACATAATATCCTTTAATTGCCATAGCCACACCCATGACAGAAAACATAATTACAAAAGAGTATTCTCAAACTCTCACCACTTCTGTCCAGTCTCCTGTCTTCTTCTCTGCTGCTTTTCTCCAGTCTCCTGTCTTCTTCTCTGCTCCTCTTAAGTCTCCAGTCTCCACTTGTCTTCTCTTCATTCTCCACAGCTGTGATTTCCTGCAACAATTGGGTTTATAGCACATTAAACACAGAACAATTTAAAATTGTTAAAATATAATGTAAGGAGTGTAATCACCACTTAAAAGAGATCAATACATCTGTTTTTATGATTGGCTGCAAAGCGATCACTAACAACATCTGCATCCATCTCTTTTGTTCTTCTTGAGCTGATTGCCAGCACAGCAAGATTGCTAGTTCAGACATCGCCACTTTAGTTTCTGAGGTAGGTTTTTAAATGCTGTAGGCAGGAAAAGCTCCTCTCACAAGCAGCTGTTGATACTGGCAGTGTCATGGAGATGCACACAAGTTTGTACAAGTCAATGGAAGCCGCCTTGTATGGCCTCAACAGAATCAGCAAGTCATGGGTGCTGTTGAGAGCAGAAATCAATTTCCCTCTGGGATTAATAAAGTATTTTTGAATTGAATTGAGAGAGACCCCATTTTGTTTTTTTCTGTCAATGAGGCGTTTCAGTTGATGTAGTTCTGTGTTAGGGTTAGAGGTATGACAAAGTGACCCATTTTAGCTTCAATAAGCTAGCTCCCGCAGGCTTGTGACTCAGCGGCAGCACCTTGAACACAATTACGGAAGGCGCAGTAACGTTCATGGGGTGTGGCAGTGACTATATTTTTTATGTAACAAATAAATTATTATTATTCTGCATAGTTTGAATAGAAACATTTTAAAATCTTTATTTTGGTTCAGGCTCATATATTTAAAAAAAAATTTTTTAATTCAGGAAGGGGGTGGGGGGTCAAATGTGTGGTCAAGGCGTTTTTTGGTAGGGTCTTGAGACCCCCCAAGGCCCTGCCCGGCGCTGCCGGTGGCTATGAATGGCTGTGACAGCACCCACTGCCCGGACGGACTCCTTTACATTAAAGGTTTTGCGCTAGGTTAACATTTAAAGAGCAAGTCACCCCCAAATCAACTTTATTTTTTCCTAATAAACTATATAAATGCGTGTCTAATCATGCTGCAGACACGTGTAGTCAATAGTTTAGCTCTTTAGTGCATTTTAGTTAAAATTAGGGCCGGGACTTTAACGCGTTAATTATGATTAATTAATTAGAAAAAATGACGCGTAAAAAAATTAACGCATTTAATCACAGCTTGCATTTTGAGAAAGGCAGAACCTTTGTTATTGCAAGATTTCCTTGTAGAGCAAATATCACTGACGCACACAACAATGCACAGTGCTAATGGCTACTAAAACGGAATAAAACAGAAAGAAGTTGCCTTGCTAAGGCTGATGCAGGATTTAGGAAACCCGTCCGCCTCTTTTCTTAACTTGGGAAAAAAAACTTCCAGACAACAACGGAGTCCGTGTCACGGACATTTTTCAGAGATCGTCTCTGCTGCAGCTGCCCGGTGGCACCGGAAACTTTACAAAAGTTGCGGTAAGCTATATTTTTAACATTTACGTAACATCTGTGCAGCGCTGAAAGCACCAGACAGAATAATTCTTTGCCCTAACAGTAGTTTATGAAAGTAGTCTGACAAACGAGAGGCACCTGGCTGCCGCTGGGAGAACGCTCTGTGTTCTCACTGCTCTGTAAACAATCACAAACAACGTGTCTTAAAGTTGAAAACAGAAGTTTAAGTTAAAACAGAAAAACTAAAAATGCAATTAATTTAGATTAATTAATTATAAAGCCTGTAATTAATTAGATTACATTTTGAATCGAGTCACGGCCCTAGTTAAAATTTTAATTTTCTGCGTAAAACTGTCAGTGTTGTGCCTTTGTCAGGTAAAAACTCTGCTCAGCATTAAGCCTGGTTCATGCTTCTCCGTCAGCTCCGCAAGGGACAGACACGCACGGATTGACGGAAGCGTTTTGCTCTCATACTTCTCCGTCTCCTGGAGAGTGTTGCAAAGCAATTCCTCGGCAGGACAACAAAGGGCGTAGCGTTGTTCTGTGGTATCCTGTCATGTATCGGTCCAAGATAGTGTGTTTATATTATGTTTTTTGTATATAAGAGACTTTTTAACACAGACAAATTTGTCTCTCATCCTCCTCCACCTCTTCATGCGCTCGCCACCTCTAAACCCACATTTCCTGTCATTTCCGTCCACAAATAAAACGCTTGCTGCGCATCTTTTCACTCCTCCAGTCACGGGAGAATTAAACGTTCATATTTTTAGTTTTTTCGCGAGGTATTCTTAAAGCTGCTCTGTGTCTGCCGCTTGTTATCCTCGGCTCTCTTTATGTTTTTGAGGGCGCAATGGTGGCGCTGTAGACAACAGCGGCGTCTTGACCAATCACAAGCTTGCGTTGTCCGTCTCGACTGACGGATGTTTAGAAAAGAGAGCTAGACTCCGTCCGTCCTTACGGAGCTCTCCGGCAGGCCCGCAAGGACGTTGCGAGTCTCCGCACTGACGCAGACGGGGAAGCATGGATCAGGCTTTAGAATTGAAATCTGCCATCGCTATTGGCTAAGAGGTACCCTAGAATGTTAGCCAGGGATTAAATTTCTCAGTCATGGCGACGGAAATCCGTCAGTTGGAATAATCAGAAAAAAGTTCCATCAAAATCTCTTCTGGCGCTCGCTTGGGTTTAGGAGTCTCTCTCTCTCTCTCTCTCTGTCTCTCTGTCTCTCTCTCTCTCTCTGTCTCTCTCTCTCTGTCTCTCTCTCTGTGTCAGTGGAACAGGTGAGTTGCTGAACAAGCATGCCCCCAACCCCCCTAGTGTACTTTAATACTTATCATCTTTTGTACCTCAGAAAAATCTCAGTGCCCACTGTAGGAGCCATTATTGTTTTGGTTTAGATTATATTATGGTCTAAGTTTATTTTGATAATGTTTTATGTACATTTCAGTTTATTGCACTACGGTTTGTATTTCGTTTGACCACTGGTGGCACTGCGGAGCCTATAAAGGTGTTGAGGTGGCAGTGAATTGGCGTTTTCTCGGTGACGGGAGGTCACACGGTTTTTACCGCTTTGTTTGGTTTCATATGCCACATCTAATTTGCTGTTATAACTTTCATCATTTACATAAACCTGGACAAGAAATAGCCATTCTGGACCCAGCTTGTGATCGTCAACATATTCAATAAATGGGACAATAAACCCAAACCCGCTTTCTGCCTGGACAATATTGTTGAAGCGAGTCATTGCCTCCACCCGCACCCGAGGGTGACTAAAAGTGGGACTTGATAGTCACTACACCCACACTTTTGAACACAGTGTATGTGAACGGGTTATTCCAAATTTTTCAGAAACAAGAATACTGACCTTAAAACCAATCAAAACCCAAATACTGGCTGCGTGTAAACAATGTAGGCCCCCCCCCCCCCCCCCCCCCCGCCCAATAATTTTCAGTCAGATGAGACTTTTTTGCATCAACCCATGCCGTAGACGCGACAATGCCATCGGACCAATATTTGCTGGGATTCTATGTTGAACTACAAGTAACTAATTGTCAAAATAAGAATTATACATATAACTGTAGGCATGTACAAATGTATCTGAATGGATTTTTAAGACATGATCTGTAATAGTTTTTTTACAAATTCGGGCTGTCCTACCGCAACCATTTTTAGATGTGGACACCACGTCTGCGTCGGACCAATGTTTGTTGGGGGAGACAGCAGACGTTAGCATGTAGCTAACGCTAGCTGGCTAGGAGGTGCTGCTGGTGGACACAAATACAGTACAGCAATTTCAGATTTACTAAGTACAAACAAAAAAGCTCAAACAAAGTTGTTAAAATGGTCCAGAACGCAGCGGCGCGTCTGGTCTTCAATCAGCAAAAAAGAGCACACGTCACCCCTCTGTTCATTGAGCTCCACTGGCTATCGCTAGCAGCACGCATCAAATTCAAATTGCTAACACTAGCATACAAAGTCTGAGATGGTACGGCTCCCATCTACCTGAATCCTCTTGCAAAGACTTGTGTCTCGGCCCGGCCGCTCCGGTCATCACATGATCGTCGGCTAGCAGTGCCTACACCACGCTCAGGACAATCCAGACTCTTCTCATGCATCGTTCCACAAATGTGGAATGACCTTCCAAGCACTACCAGAACAGGAGCTTCCTTTTCAATTTTCAAGAAACTCCTGAAGACCCTGCTCTTTAGAGAGCATCTTCTAAACTAGCACCCTCCCTGCACCCATCCCCCCTCTCTACTGTCCACTCCTTGTTCCCTCCTCTCCATGATTCATCATGCTGCCTCACTGCCACCTATGACTGACTGGAAATTGTTGTTTTTGTTATTGTTGTTGTTAGCCTCAAGGGAAACATGCCTATTATCAATTGTAAGTCGCTTTGGACAAAAGCGTCTGCTAAATACATAAACATAAAAGTAATCCCTCAAGCCCTGGTCTCTATAGTCCACTGATAAGAGCAGGAATTACCCACACAGAGCTCAGGCATCCTGTCATTCACTGATGCTGTTTTGACCCCTATTCGCCGAGTGGTGAATATCAGCGGCAAGCCCA